TGACTGTGTGGTTGTGTTGTTGTGACAGTGTGGTTGTGTGGTTGTGTTGTTGTGACTGTGTGGTTGTGTGGTTGTGTTGTTGTGTGGTTGTGTTGTTGTGACTGTGTGGTTGTGTTGTTGTGACTGTGTGGTTGTGTTGTTGTGACAGTGTGGTTGTGTTGTTGTGACAGTGTGGTTGTGTGGTTGTGTTGTTGTGACTGTGTGGTTGTGTTGTTGTGACAGTGTGGTTGTGTTGTGACAGTGTGGTTGTGTGGTTGTGTTGTTGTGACAGTGTGGTTGTGTTGTTGTGACAGTGTGGTTGTGTGGTTGTGTTGTTGTGACAGTGTGGTTGTGTTGTTGTGACTGTGTGGTTGTGTTGTTGTGACTGTGTGGTTGTGTTGTTGTGACAGTGTGGTTGTGTGGTTGTGTTGTTGTGACTGTGTGGTTGTGTTGTTGTGGCAGTGTGGTTGTGACTGTGTGGTTGTGTTGTTGTGACAGTGTGGTTGTGTGGTTGTGTTGTTGTGACAGTGTGGTTGTGTTGTTGTGACTGTGTGGTTGTGTTGTTGTGACAGTGTGGTTGTGTTGTTGTGACTGTGTGGTTGTGTTGTTGTGACAGTGTGGTTGTGTGGTTGTGTTGTTGTGACAGTGTGGTTGTGTTGTTGTGACTGTGTGGTTGTGTTGTTGTGACAGTGTGGTTGTGTTGTTGTGACTGTGTGGTTGTGTTGTTGTGACTGTGTGGTTGTGTTGTTGTGACAGTGTGGTTGTGTGGTTGTGTTGTTGTGACTGTGTGGTTGTGTTGTTGTGACAGTGTGGTTGTGTTGTTGTGACAGTGTGGTTGTGTTGTTGTGACAGTGTGGTTGTGTTGTTGTGACAGTGTGGTTGTGTGGTTGTGTTGTTGTGACAGTGTGGTTGTGTTGTTGTGACAGTGTGGTTGTGTTGTTGTGACAGTGTGGTTGTGTTGTTGTGACAGTGTGGTTGTGTGGTTGTGACAGTGTGGTTGTGTTGTTGTGACTGTGTGGTTGTGTTGTGACAGTGTGGTTGTGTGGTTGTGTTGTTGTGACAGTGTGGTTGTGTGGTTGTGTTGTTGTGACTGTGTGGTTGTGTTGTTGTGACTGTGTGGTTGTGTTGTTGTGACAGTGTGGTTGTGTTGTTGTGACTGTGTGGTTGTGTTGTTGTGACAGTGTGGTTGTGTTGTTGTGACAGTGTGGTTGTGTTGTTGTGACAGTGTGGTTGTGTGGTTGTGACAGTGTGGTTGTGTTGTTGTGACAGTGTGGTTGTGTTGTTGTGACAGTGTGGTTGTGTTGGTTGTGTTGTTGTGACTGTGTGGTTGTGTGGTTGTGACAGTGTGGTTGTGTGGTTGTGTTGTTGTGACAGTGTGGTTGTGTTGTTGTGACTGTGTGGTTGTGTTGTTGTGACAGTGTGGTTGTGTTGTTGTGACAGTGTGGTTGTGTTGTTGTGACAGTGTGGTTGTGTGGTTGTGTTGTTGTGACTGTGTGGTTGTGTGGTTGTGTTGTTGTGACAGTGTGGTTGTGACAGTGTGGTTGTGTTGTTGTGACAGTGTGGTTGTGTTGTTGTGACAGTGTGGTTGTGTTGTGACAGTGTGGTTGTGTGGTTGTGTTGTTGTGACAGTGTGGTTGTGTGGTTGTGTTGTTGTGACTGTGTGGTTGTGTTGTTGTGACAGTGTGGTTGTGTGGTTGTGTTGTTGTGACTGTGTGGTTGTGTTGTTGTGACAGTGTGGTTGTGTTGTTGTGTGGTTGTGTTGTTGTGACTGTGTGGTTGTGTTGTTGTGACAGTGTGGTTGTGTGGTTGTGTTGTTGTGACTGTGTGGTTGTGTTGTTGTGACAGTGTGGTTGTGTGGTTGTGTTGTTGTGACAGTGTGGTTGTGTTGTTGTGACTGTGTGGTTGTGTTGTTGTGACAGTGTGGTTGTGTTGTTGTGACAGTGTGGTTGTGTGGTTGTGTTGTTGTGACAGTGTGGTTGTGTTGTTGTGACTGTGTGGTTGTGTTGTTGTGACTGTGTGGTTGTGTTGTTGTGACTGTGTGGTTGTGTTGTTGTGTTGTTGTGACAGTGTGGTTGTGTGGTTGTGTTGTTGTGACAGTGTGGTTGTGTTGTTGTGACAGTGTGGTTGTGTTGTTGTGACTGTGTGGTTGTGTTGTTGTGACTGTGTGGTTGTGTTGTTGTGACTGTGTGGTTGTGTTGTTGTGACAGTTTGGTTGTGTTGTTGTGACAGTGTGGTTGTGTGGTTGTGTTGTTGTGACTGTGTGGTTGTGTTGTTGTGACTGTGTGGTTGTGTTGTTGTGACTGTGTGGTTGTGTTGTTGTGACTGTGTGGTTGTGTTGTTGTGACAGTGTGGTTGTGTTGTGACTGTGTGGTTGTGTTGTTGTGACAGTGTGGTTGTGTGGTTGTGTTGTTGTGACATTGTGGTTGTGTTGTTGTGACAGTGTGGTTGTGACAGTGTGGTTGTGTGGTTGTGTTGTTGTGACAGTGTGGTTGTGTTGTTGTGACAGTGTGGTTGTGACAGTGTGGTTGTGTGGTTGTGTTGTGACTGTGTGGTTGTGTTGTTGTGACAGTGTGGTTGTGTGGTTGTGTTGTTGTGACAGTGTGGTTGTGTTGTTGCAGTGACACCCTGAGTGTGGTGGCCTCAGAACACCGTCCCTTTAACATCAAACAGAAAGCTCTTGGAAAAGAAGACTTCACAAAGATCCCTCACGGCGTCGCTGGAGTCCAGGACCGGATGAGCGTCGTCTGGGAGCGGGCCGTGGTACGACAACGACAACACAACACACTGCAATAGTTTTCACACACACACCAGACTCATTCTCATGTTGGTGAAGTGTCTTGCCCAAGGACACAACAGTTTAACACTGTGGCACCTGGTGTTCCCAGAGGTCTCCCATCACAGTATTAACCAGACCCGGTCTGACAGGATCTGGCTTTCACCTGCGGGGGGCGCCACTGTCAAAGCTGGAGTACCTAACACAGAGTTGTTGATTCTCCAACAGTAGATCAGAGAATCAAACACACATTAGTTTTTTAAAGTGTTTCTCGTCTTTAGGTGACGGGAAAAATGGACGAAAACCGTTTTGTGGCGATAACAAGCTCCAACGCCGCCAAGATCTATAACATGTACCCACGAAAAGGTCGCATCGTCGCCGGAGCTGACGCCGATGTGGTCGTTTGGGATCCAGACGCAACACGGTGAGAAACGACTTCAAACACGAGGCCCCCGAGCCATCTGCGGTCCGAGAAAAGGTGTATATGGCCCCCTAGTGGACATCGAGCTTTACCCCCGCCGTGGGTCGAATGAAGGACTATCTTATCTTATGGGCAGCACCGTGGCTGAGTGGTTAGCACTCTCGCTTCTCAGCAAGAAGGTCCTGGGTTCGAATCCCTGTCAGAACAGGGTCTTTCTGATTTGCATATTCTTCTCGTGTCTGCCTAGGTTTCCTCCAGGTGCTCCGGTTTCCCCTACTACTAAAAATATGTGCAATAGTCTGAATGTAATGAGTGAGTGGAGGGTGTTTGGTCGGAGGCTTTGATGGACCAGTGTGTTCTGGTCTCGCTTCATCACCGTGTGGAGAGAAGGGAACAATATCTGAACTTTGTAAAGTGCTTTGGGAGACTTTGGTCTGTAAGATGTGCTATGTAAATAAACATTACGTACTTATCTTATCTTCTCATGTACTCTAGAATAAGAAGATCCAAAGTTTGAAATTGCAGTATGTTATACGTGTCCAGGAGCTAAACTGTAAAGTGCAAATCAAATGTTAGTGCTTTTCTTCCGCTGTAGGAGCAGCAGGAGTTTTCTCCCAGGTCCATATGTGTTGCACAAACACGTGTTAAACATAACCCCTCACTGCGTCTTCACAGGACCATCTCTGCAAGCTCCCAGGTGCAGGGCGGGGACTTCAACCTTTACGAGGGCCTGAGGTGTCATGGCGTTCCCCTGGTGACCATCAGCCGGGGGCGCCTGGTCTGTGAGAACGAGGTCTTCATGTGCGCCGAGGGTTCTGGGAAATACTGCCCTCAGCGCATCTTCCCCGACTTCCTCTACAAGAAGATGGTGCAGCGAGAAAAGGTATATACAGTATGTACAGTGTGTACAGTATATACAGTATGTACAGTATGTACAGTATATACAGTATGTACAGTATGTACAGTATATAAAGTATATACTGTATGTACAGTATATACAGTATATAAAGTATATACAGTATGTACAGTATATACAGTATATAAAGTATATACAGTATGTACAGTGTGTACAGTATATAAAGTATATACAGTATGTACAGTGTGTACAGTATATACAGTATGTACAGTATGTACAGTATATACAGTATGTACAGTATGTACAGTATATAAAGTATATACTGTATGTACAGTATATACAGTATATAAAGTATATACAGTATGTACAGTATATACAGTATATAAAGTATATACAGTATGTACAGTGTGTACAGTATATAAAGTATATACAGTATGTACAGTGTGTACAGTATATACAGTATGTACAGTATATAAAGTATATACAGTATGTACAGTACATACAGTATATAAAGTATATACAGTATGTACAGTATATAAAGTATATACAGTATGTACAGTATATACAGTATGTACAGTATATACAGTATATTAAAGTATGTACAGTATATACAGTATATACAGTATAATATATATATATATATTACTACACCACTATAGACACAAGATACAGAACATTATTTACACTAGAACTCACACTTTTGGGACGTGTAGTTATCAGTATGTAACTATTTGGTCTTATCTAGTTTATTCCTATGTCATTATTTCAATTTTAGTCCAGTACTGGTCCTGGACTGGTCCTGGACTGGTCCTGGTTCTGAGCCAAGTCAAGTCAAGTTTTCCACCAGAGAAGAACCAGTGCTAGTCACATATCCTACTGTATATCTTCAGTGTTTAATAGATGTATAATTATAGATTATAGATTGTATAATTATAGATTATAGATTGTATAATTACAGATCGTATAATAGATTATAACGGCACATGTGCAGCCCGTCTAAAGGCCCGTTGTGGTTCCAGAACCTGGTGTATAAAGGGGTGGAGAGGGACCCGTACTGTGGAGACGTGGCTAAGATCGCGGTCACGATGAAGAAGGAGCTCGGTCTGGGTCCCATCGATGGAGAGTCTCCCAAAGGAGCCCGAGCGGCGCATCAGGGGGTCCGGGACCTCCATGAGTCCTCCTTCAGTCTCTCTGGTGAGGTTCTATGGACTTCATGTGTTCACCTCATATCCACCTCAGAGTCCATCTGGATTTATACTCACTAAATATACTGCATGTAAAGTATATTTAGTGTATATATGTGTACAGTATATTTAGGGTATATATGTGTACAGTGTATTTAGTGTATATATGTGTACAGTGTATTTAGTATATATATGTGTACAGTGTATTTAGTATATATATGTGTACAGTGTATTTAGGGTATATATGTGTACAGTGTATTTAGGGTATATATGTGTACAGTGTATTTAGTGTATATATGTGTACAGTGTATTTAGTATATATATGTGTACAGTGTATTTAGTGTATATATGTGTACAGTATATTTAGGGTATATATGTGTACAGTGTATTTAGGGTATATATGTGTACAGTGTATTTAGGGTATATATGTGTACAGTGTATTTAGTGTATATATGTGTACAGTGTATTTAGTGTATATATGTGTACAGTGTATTTAGTGTATATATGTGTACAGTGTATTTAGGGTATATATATGTACAGTGTATTTAGTATATATGTGTACAGTGTATTTAGGGTATATATGTGTACAGTGTATTTAGTGTATATATGTGTACAGTGTATTTAGGGTATATATGTGTACAGTATATTTAGGTTATATATGTGTACAGTGTATTTAGGGTATATATGTGTACAGTGTATTTAGTGTATATATGTGTACAGTATATTTAGTGGATATATGTGTACAGTGTATTTAGGGTATATATGTGTACAGTGTATTTAGTGTATATATGTGTACAGTGTATTTAGTGGATATATGTGTACAGTGTATTTAGGGTATATATGTGTACAGTGTATTTAGGGTATATATGTGTACAGTGTATTTAGTGTATATATGTGTACAGTGTATTTAGTATATATGTGTACAGTGTATTTAGTGTATATATGTGTACAGTGTATTTAGGGTATATATGTGTACAGTGTATTTAGTGGATATATGTGTACAGTGTATTTAGGGTATATATGTGTACAGTGTATTTAGGGTATATATGTGTACAGTGTATTTAGTGTATATATGTGTACAGTGTATTTAGTATATATGTGTACAGTGTATTTAGTGTATATATGTGTACAGTGTATTTAGGGTATATATGTGTACAGTATATTTAGGGTATATATGTGTACAGTGTATTTAGGGTATATATGTGTACAGTGTATTTAGGGTATATATGTGTACAGTGTATTTAGTGTATATATGTGTACAGTGTATTTAGGGTATATATGTGTACAGTGTATTTAGGGTATATATGTGTACAGTGTATTTAGGGTATATATGTGTACAGTGTATTTAGTGTATATATGTGTACAGTGTATTTAGGGTATATATGTGTACAGTGTATTTAGGGTATATATGTGTACAGTGTATTTAGTGTATATATGTGTACAGTATATTTAGGGTATATATGTGTACAGTGTATTTAGGGTATATATGTGTACAGTGTATTTAGGGTATATATGTGTACAGTGTATTTAGGGTATATATGTGTACAGTGTATTTAGGGTATATATGTGTACAGTGTATTTAGGGTATATATGTGTACAGTGTATTTAGGGTATATATGTGTACAGTGTATTTAGGGTATATATGTGTACAGTGTATTTAGGGTATATATGTGTACAGTATATTTAGGGTATATATGTGTACAGTGTATTTAGGGTATATATGTGTACAGTGTATTTAGGGTATATATGTGTACAGTATTATTATGATATAGCACTTGAACTTTACAGTAAGAATGTGCTGAGTTCAATTCCAGCTCCAGGTCTTTGTTGGAGTTTGCATGTTCTCCACGTGTCTGCGTAGGTTTCCTCTGGGTGCTCCGGTTGCTCCTACCACAAAAAAAACATGTAGAATAGGTCTGTTTGGTGATCATCATGTGCTTCGTGACTCTATAAGCGCTATATAAATAAATCTTACTTATTGTCACTGGTTTCTGTTTTTCCTGAGGAGCAGATGGACTGAGCGTCTCAAACCAAATCGATCAAACTAACTAAACTAAGGTTATTCTAAATGTCTGTGCGTCTCGGTTGTTCTGCTGCGGTCCTTAGATTATAACTATATGTACAAAGGCCTAATCCTCGTTAGATTACAGATATTTTTACATTTGGATTTCTTTTACATTTTTGTCTCTTTCTTCTTCCAGGATCTCAAGTCGATGACCACATTCCCAAGAGGTCCTCCGCTCGGATCCTGGCGCCCCCTGGTGGCCGCTCCAGTGGCATTTGGTAATCTGCTCATGGAAGTCTGCAACTCCGAGCCTCATTTACTTTTGATTTTATATTTTTAAAGAACCAGGAAAACTGCACTGATTTACATTAGAATGGAGCCATGTGAATAATAAATGGCTCGTAGGATTAACCATGTAATTCGAAGTTTACACAACCTAACTGTCTTAACTAAAATGTCTCGTTTTGGACACTATTCTAAAGTCGTCATAGAGAACAACGTATTGATTAATAAACATCAAACCAGTACAGTTTTTAGTGGTTTCAAAGGGAGTAATGTTAACTTTAGGTTGAGAAATAACCCTGAAAACATTTGATCGTTCACGTTTTTGGTCCCAAACAGAACATAACTGCTGTAGACTTGTATGAAGATTTTGTGAATTTCTGCTTGTGAGTAAAGCTCCCTCTGAGGTCGGCTTCCTGCTGCACTCTGGGCCGTCTGAGTGACCTCTGCTGTGACCTCTGCTGTGTGGTGATGAAATCCAACTGCTTCAAACACACATTTAAGTTCAGACCCCTGCAAGGCTTACACACTCACCGCTGACCACCACGCTATTCTCTGAAAGCATCTTGACCCCTGATGATGTGGACTGCATGTGGCTCAGTAAAATAAGGAAGGAAACACTTGTATCTGCTTAATATTTATGTATAAATGAACCTTTGTGTGGAGAAATTGCCTTCTCGATAAACATCTAAACAGAAGGATCTCAATTCTAAAGGTTGTGCACCAAATTTGATGCTGCTGCTACTTTTGAACATATCTTTGCTCACATGTGACGAAGGATCTGACCAGAATAATGGCAGAAACATATCTGGATAATGTCCGTAGCACTCAACTGTGAGAACTGGAATACATCTTATGTTGTGATTATCTAGATTTGTGCAATACGCAGCAGCCGCAGTAGCACCATCTTACAGGGATTACAGGTCTCCACAGGCAGAGGGCGCTCTCCACTCTGTCCTCTCCACACCCAACAGTGTTATATTTATCATATGTCTGTGTATGTTTTTGTGTTTTAGTTGAAAGAATGTGCCAACATGACTCACCGCTGCTGTGCATGAGCCGCATACTGTGGAAAGTGTCACCTCTGATAAACTATGGTGCTGTTTTTTACTATAGACCTGTTGTTTACTGCTCAGTGGCGTGTGTTTGTAGATTCTTGTTTTGGGAAGTAAAACTGTTGACTCTGTATGTGGCTGCTTGTTTCTTACCTCAATTAAACTGAATGAACTATATGTTTAAGTGTTTTGGATGTAATATGCAATAGTAATAATGATAATAATAGTAATAATAATATTCACTCATTCATTTTATCCACTTTATTTGTCCATTTCTGGGTCTGACCCTCGTGCAGGTCACGGTCTTTCAGTGAGGCATAATAATAATAGTAATAACTATAAATATAATGATAATAATAATATTACAAAACACAGTAATAATAACACAGAAGATGTTCATGTTATTCCAAAGTAACTCTCATTATCACTGTATCAATATTTGTGTCCGGGTCTTACCACTTTGATTTATTATGACTTTCTTTAAATCAAACCATCATAAAACATAGTAAAAGTCCATAAACTTGACTATTCATTATAAGTTCTTACTTTCTTTTTTTAAATGATTGTTATTGAGTAAATAAAATTAATAAATGCACACGTCTAACAAATATAATATCACTATACTGCTTTCAAATTTAATGCAAAAAAGTGGAAGAATAATTCTGGGACAATGACTTTATTTAAAAACACACAAAAATATGTACGTTTATGATTCAAGATGATAACTTTGGTAACGGTTAATAATATACGTCATGGCCAATCGTGGTTCACCAAAATAACGTTGTCTCCAACATGGCTGCCCACGGGGCACCAGCTGCACCGAACATAAAGGCAAACGCACGCAACTGCAACGCGCATGCGCAGTGAGAGCGGCTTAGGTAGGAGCAGAGTCTGGCGCAACTTGCTGAGGTAAGAGCCATCATCTGAACAACGGGACCGCGGTGGGAGGCTGTGGACCGACCTCAGTGAGTTCTATCAAATAACTCTAACTTAAAATGTCTTCTTTTGCTCTTTCTATCCAGTTTCGTGCTCACAGCCGTGTTGTTTGTCTCAGAGATAGTTGGAGTGCAGCCGGGCAGACCGCGCTGTCATTATTGTCATGTGTGTTGTGCAAAGGCCTGCAGAGGGGGTAATGAGGGGGTAATGAGGGGGTAATGAGGGGGTAATACTTCAAACTACTCTATCACCTGATCCTGGCCTGTGCGACAGTCACACACAACATGCAGCTCAAAAACTAATACATATATACTGTTTCAAAGCACTAATCTGCGGTATATGCATGCTCCAATCCACGAGGCAGTGTTAGCAATTAGCAGCAGCAGCAGCAGCAGCAGCAGCAGCAGCAGCAGCAGCAGCAGCAGTAGCAGCAGCAGCAGCAGTAGTAGTAGCAGTAGCAGTAGCAGTAGCAGCAGCAGCAGCAGCAGCAGTAGTAGCAGTAGCAGTAGCAGTAGCAGCAGCAGCAGCAGTAGTAGTAGCAGTAGCAGTAGCAGTAGCAGCAGCAGCAGCAGCAGCAGTAGTAGCAGTAGCAGTAGCAGTAGCAGCAGCAGCAGCAGCAGTAGCAGTAGCAGTAGCAGCAGCAGCAGCAGCAGCAGTAGTAGCAGCAGCAGCAGCAGCAGCAGCAGCAGCAGCAGCAGTAGCAGCAGCAGTAGCAGCAGTAGCAGTAGCAGCAGCAGTAGCAGCAGCAGTAGCAGCAGCAGCAGCAGCAGCAGCAGCAGCAGCAGTAGTAGCAGCAGCAGTAGCAGCAGCAGCAGCAGCAGTAGCAGTAGCAGTAGCAGCAGCAGCAGCAGCAGCAGTAGTAGCAGTAGCAGTAGCAGTAGCAGCAGCAGCAGCAGCAGTAGCAGTAGCAGTAGCAGTAGCAGCAGCAGCAGCAGCAGCAGTAGTAGCAGCAGCAGGAGTAGCAGCAGCAGCAGCAGCAGCAGCAGCAGCAGCAGCAGTAGCAGCAGCAGCAGCAGCAGCAGCAGCAGTAGCAGCAGCAGTAGTAGTAGCAGCAGCAGCAGCAGCAGCAGCAGCAGCAGCAGCAGCAGCAGCAGCAGTAGCAGCAGCAGCAGCAGCAGTAGCAGCAGCAGCAGCAGCAGCAGCAGCAGCAGCAGTAGCAGCAGCAGCAGTAGTAGCAGCAGCAGCAGCAGCAGCAGCAGCAGTAGTAGCAGCAGCAGCAGTAGCAGTAGCAGCAGCAGCAGCAGTAGCAGTAGCTGCAGCAGCAGCAGCAGTAGCAGTAGCAGTAGTAGCAGCAGCAGCAGCAGCAGCAGCAGCAGTAGTAGCAGCAGCAGCAGCAGTAGTAGCAGCAGCAGCAGCAGTAGTAGCAGCAGCAGCAGTAGCAGCAGTAGCAGCAGCAGCAGCAGTAGCAGTAGCTGCAGCAGCAGCAGCAGTAGCAGTAGCAGTAGTAGCAGCAGCAGCAGCAGCAGCAGCAGCAGCAGCAGAAGCAGCAGCAGCAGCAGTAGTAGCAGCAGCAGCAGCAGCAGTAGCAGCAGCAGCAGCAGCAGCAGCAGCAGCAGCAGCAGCAGCAGTAGTAGCAGCAGCAGCAGCAGCAGTAGCAGCAGCAGCAGTAGCAGTAGTAGCAGCAGCAGCAGCAGTAGTAGCAGCAGCAGCAGCAGCAGCAGCAGCAGCAGCAGTAGTAGCAGCAGCAGCAGCAGCAGCAGCAGCAGCAGTAGTAGCAGCAGCAGCAGCAGTAGTAGCAGCAGCAGCAGCAGTAGTAGCAGCAGCAGCAGCAGCAGTAGTAGCAGCAGCAGCAGCAGCAGCAGCAGCAGCAGCAGCAGCAGCAGCAGCAGCAGCAGCAGCAGCAGCAGCAGCAGCAGCAGTGAAAACAGTGACCCGACACTGACCCGACACTGACCCGACACTGACCCGACACTGACCCGACACTGAGTCCATGGATCAGACTGACAGGGTCTGAGCACGGTTCTGAGGGTCTGAGCTGCAATCACCAACTTTCACTTTTCCTCTGTCATTTTTAATTCTTAAGATATTTAATTCAGGATAATGCTGATAGTTGCATTATGAACATTTGTTTAGTGTGCTGCAGTTTAGTGTTTTTTATAGTGTTGTAATTTACAAAAACACAACAGGATTCTGTATTATGCTAATGTTATGATCTGAGCTGTCCTTTCAACACGGGGTCAAACTTTTACTTTATTTCATAACAAAAGTGTTATTTTTGTTTGTGGTGAAAGACACTCATATCACCCATCCTATCTCTAAACATGTTATTACTGCATTATGACTGATTATAAGGCTGTGACAAATGAATCAGTTCATCACAACTAATCCATTATTTAAATAGTTAATTATCAAAACAATCGATTAATCCGTTTAGAGCCTTAGATAAAGTGAAACATCCTGAGAACAGGTTTTATGACTGATTAATCCTTTCATGGATAATGACAGCAATATTCAATGGAAATGTGTTTATAAAGCAAGTATTAGAGATTATGGATATTCCCAGATTCTCCTTTCAGGATGTTAACGACTAATCCATTATCAAAGTAATCTTTAATTACAGCCCACAGTGATTTTCCAACGACAGAGTGTAATATTTATCTTTAGATAAAGATTTATTGATTGATTAATCCTATCATCCAATGGTCTCACTCAGTTATTACTCCAGAATGGATTTATAGTTATATTATATGTATATTACAGTCACTAAAGTCATTCTGTGTGTTTTTACTCACTCTGTGGGCCTCCATGGATCTATTATGAATTCATTATGAATGAAGCACTTTCACAATATTTTTCTTTCACACCGTGTGAGGAAGATGGAGGAGGTGAGGGACAGGAGGCCCCTGGACTCTGTGGAGGAGGTGAGGGACAGGAGGCCCCTGGACTCTGTGGAGGAGGTGAGGGACAGGAGGCCCCTGGACTCTGTGGAGGAGGTGAGGGACAGGAGGCCCCTGGACTCTGTGGAGGAGGTGAGGGACAGGAGGCCCCTGGACTCTGTGGAGGAGGTGA